AGATGCCACCCAACTGCAGATGGACTCTGGTCAGCCCAGCAAAGGCCTTTTTTCTGTCTCCTACTTCTCCCCCTCCCCCCCTTTTTTTTTAAGAAAGAGAATAGAGAAAGGTGTCCAGCATAGAGAACACTCAAAAGACACAAAACATTGACCCCAGCAGGCCAAGAACTGCTGAAAAATAATCAGAGGAGACAATCCTGGGGCCGCGTGGGCAGTCATGTCCCTGAGGCCACATTTAGAACAGCGCATCTTTATGCCAGAAATTTGAGCCTGAGATTACTATATTGTGATCTTATGATCAAACCTAACAAGACAAAGACATGGCCAAGTGGGGCTGCTTTTAATATCTCCGAGTCAGCTGCGGGGATCCAATTATTTTCAGTTTGGATACATTTCCCCTTTATCAATATCTCCGTGTGCATAAATAAGATAAAAGTGGCCCTGTAGAATCAAAGGAAGTGGCACTCCTCTCGCCGGGCACACTGGTTGGGTCTGGAAGTGTGTGGCCACTCTTCTCCCACGCAGGGTTCTGATGTGGGCCCTGATCTTCCTATCGATGGCCAAAGACAAGAAGGGAGTTTAGGCAGGGAGATGAAGTTACAGATAATGAAAGGCAGGTGGGGAGGATGCGCAAAACAGGAAGAGAATGTGTATTAAACCCGCCAACATTCCCTTCCCAGTGGCATCAAAGGGGTAATGGGTGATTTCAGCTGTGCTCTGAGTTTCTCTCCTGAGCTGTGCCTGGAACTGAAAACACAGTTTGGCATTCCAACTTCCTTTGATTTCCCAGCCCAGGCCGGCAGGTGCCAAGCATCGCATAAATAGGCTACCTGCACTAAAATGTAAATAGCGTGGTCCCCGCTGACCCTCCCAGGCCAGACACCATTAGGGAGGCAAAGACAGGAAGCCAGTCGAGTGGGGACAGTTACACCACCAAGTCCCCTGGCTTCGGCCTAGAGGTCTCTGCCTTGTTCTGGGAGGAAGTTACCTTCACCTAAGCCTCCATAAGCAGCGCCCACATGGGAGGGCGTGACAATGAAGGGGACAGGTCAGAGTGGTGCCACACATAGCCATGAGGACAGGAGTCCCAGGGGTTTGCTGGAGCAGCTTGGCTATGTTGCAGACTCCCAAGCCTCCTTTCATTTCTGGGAGGAGCCAGGTGTTGTGGCCACCAGGAGAACACCTGACACCTGGGTGTCAGTCAGGTGACCCTGTTGTGTGTTGTGCGTGGCATGAGCAGTCATCTGACTCACAGTGCCTTCACCCTAAAGGCTATTTTCTTTTCCTTTCAAAGGGTCACCAATGATCTTGGCACTCCCTTCAGTGACAGTTCATTAGTCTCTTCACATTGGAACCCAGAGCCCTGAGCACCTGCTGGCTCCAGACTCAGCTGCTCCAACTGTCTACTACACAGCAGGACACACACACACACACACACACACACACAGCCCGAGGATCACAAAGCACACCCATTCCTATCCCCAATTCCAGATAACTGTCCCCTGCTGCTGCCTCTCCGACCACCTGGACACCCCCATTTACAATCGACATTTTAAGTGTGTGCTTAAATGGTATCAGTAGCAACACAGGAGGGGGGGGTGTTCTGATTCCAGCCCAGATATAGTTAATTGTTGTAACATCGATCTCCACTCTAACATGATTCTTCCTCCAAATCAAACCCCCCATTACAGAGGGGTGGAGGGCATCCTCTCCCCTCCTGCGACAATAAATTTAATATCGAATGTACTGGAAAAAAATGGCAGCTGTTGCAGAATCCATCCAAAAAGATTTTTTTCTTTTTTTCTTTTCTTTTTTTTTTTTTTTGCTTCCTGGGAGTAATTAAAAGATGCTTTCCCTGACTAATGATCCCCCTGTTTAGGAATGGGAAGTCAATACTGCTTCAGCTGTCGTCAGCTCCGATTGATCACGATGTTGCTCAAGTTGGAACGGCAGTTCTCAGGGCGGCTGAGGATCGCTGGAACCAATTATAGGCCATCCAGAGCTGCCCTAATAGGGGTGTGGGGACAACAGGCAGAAGGCCGGCCAGCTGCGCCAGGCGCCCGTTCTCCCAACCTGCCTGCAGTCCTGGATGATGCCAATGCATGGCTGTGCCAGGGGACTGGCTGTTTCTTTATAGAAAGATATGTTGTGTGTGTGTGTGTGTGTGTGTGTGTGTGTGTGTGTGTGTGCATATAAGTGTGTCTATGCACATGTGTGTCTATGTGTTTGTGTGCTAAGGTGTGTAGATGTGTGTGTATATATGTTAGAATGTGCCTATGTGTACAAGTATGTGTATATATATGTGTTGAGGTATATATACATGTGTATATGTGTGTGTTGGGATATGTGTGCATGTGTGTATGTATATTTTAGGATGTGTGTATGCGTGTGTTGTATACATGTCTGTATATGAGCAGTACATTTTTAATTACATTCCACAGTCAGAATGAATCTCCTGAACCTCGCAATGCTTCTAGATCTGGCCTCAGTTCCTATGGAGAAGGTAGGAAGTCTGGGTGTGGGGGGGCAGATAGTGCATCTAGGACAGGCAGTATTTAGACTAGGTACCAACTCTCTTGGGGTGAATCCAGACCGATTCTAGCCCAGACTGCCAGGCTTCTGTTTCTATTCGGGGAAAAGGTGGGAGGCGGTGAAGGTGGAAGGCGGTAGGATCTCTACTGTGTGTGGGCTGTGGTATTTCTCATTTATGATGGGGTCTCTAAGGCTGGTAACCTTCTAGGTGGTCCTGGCTTGGTCTGTCTTGTCCTTTCCAATCGCCCTGCTGCTGACTTCAGTGTTCTCGGGAACAGATGGAATGTGGTCAAGCACAAACGCAGACTATTCATCCTACCCAAGTCCCTCTGATATCAGCCACCCAGGCTCAAGAGCTTACCAGAGCAAACCCGTCCTTGCTTCTCGTTCTGAGGAGGTCCAGCCCTGCAGGAGGCACGCTGCTGAGCATGCGCGCTGCAGGCAGGACCTTCCTGTCTTTGCTTAGGCTGTTCTATCCTCCCACACCTCTCTCCTGGAAATCAGCCATGGCTATGAACTTGCCGGAGCTGGTGTCCTCAACTGGTCCCCAAGGGTCCACATGTCATGATACTCATCCTTTACTCATTCCCCGTCTTCTTATGAGTGTTTGGTGAATGTTTATTGAATTTAACCAGACGAAAAACTTCCTGGGATAATTTTACCAAAGACACAAATAAGCCTCCAGATCTCATGCCTGTCTGAAAATATAGAAATTCCAAAGCCTTGGAAAGGATTACTGATCAGGGAGGCTCTTGAGAATACCCAGTGTGACCCAAGGCGACAGGTTCAACTGCAGTCACCCTACTTGTGAGGGGACGACTCCTCCCACCTTCTCTAAGTGTAGAGGGCGACATGCGCAGTGCTGGGCAGAGCAGAAAGCCACGGCACCACAGCACAGGGCAAGCAGCAGTGAGACCCGAACACTGCCCACCAGCAGCCACTCACTGCTGGGTACATGAAGACAAGCACAGATCAGCTTCTGAGTGTTCTACACTCTAAAGGAATAGCAGACGTTCCTAATGCACGCCATTAAACATAGTCTATATGTTACTTTTAAACCTAAATGGTCAGGTACATAAAATTCATTTTTTCTAACTCATTTCAATGTTTTTCTTCATACATTAAACAATTTAACTTCCAATCATCTTCTCATTTTCAGATCGAAATTTAACTACACTATAGAAAAAAACACACTACTACAAAGCAAATTAATGTTTTAGGATTGAGTGAATAGCCCAGCTGACTTCCATGTGAGTGCAAGATAACAGCTTCTCAAAGGGCAGTGTATCCTGTTTGTGAGAATATCACTCCTAACTGTATTACACAGACGAACTCATAAAATGAGGAGCTGTCACAGCAAACCTCTGTGATTTTAACAAGCACACTTTACGCACCTTGCTGGCCTTACCTTCCTGTTCCCCTTCATGCCAGCCTAACACAAACAGGATTATGGTCTGGCAGCGTCACTTCTGATGTGCACCAGAGGGGGCGCCACTCATCCATTCTGCAGTGTTAGTGAAATGAACCCAGCCGGCAGGTCTCAGGAGATCACTGGCTAGGAACCTGGATGTGCAGCCTAACCGCTGGTTTATAGCCACTCGGTTCTCACTGTATCTCACCAGCAAACAAACAAACTTCCGATGCTCAGCAGGACAAATGCCTCTTCCTCTGGTTACCTTGAGAAGCATGGCAGAAGCAGGCCTCAAGCTGAAGACCGGGGCGGGAGCAGGGGCGGGATAGTGGGAACACAGAGCACCCAGTACCTTTTCCATGTCCCTGGTTAGACCAACTAGAGATGAGCTGACCCCTCTGCTACTATGAAATGGGACTTCTTTGAAAATGGGCTATTTCAGCCACCTCTTGGGAGGATTAAATATGTATGCATATCCTCAAAAATGGTTTATAATCGCTGTAAATGAAAAATGAGAAACTAAATGGCCTCAAAATAAATGCGTTTTTATCCTGGATAACAATTAGCATTAATGAGGAGTCACCATACATTATGCTTAACTGTACTTAATTAAATGTGTTAGAAGTATATTTTAGAAAATAAAATACATTTTCTTCATCATAAACTCACTTGTTGGCAGGGGCAGGTGAGGGGGTTGGTTACCCACAAGATGCTTACCAAGGGTGTACGAAAGAATACAAAACCAAAGAATCAAAAATTTATAATTAGTGTTAGCACAGCTTGTGCCTATTAGAAATATATTAATTAAAGTAATATATTCATAAGATTAGAAGCCTAATACATTTCCAAGAGGGGAGGGGAATCCCCAAGGCCTAAAAATAAACATAAAAAATTAAGGAGTTTGAATCACCCAATCTGCTCCAGACCAATTTCAAATACAGATGCATCTACTCTAGGCTAATCGGCATGCCTATCGGTTGCCAAGGCAACTGCTGCAGCTGCCCCTGAGGTCATCCCCAGTTGTGTAGCTGCTGGTGGAGCACCTGTGCATTCCTACCTTGTGGAGTCCAATGAGGGTTTTGTCCGTCCCTGGCTGCTCTCTTCCCACACACTGTTGGCCAACTCATTCCCGATGGACGACATCACCTTGATCAGCTCCATGGGCCAGTCATCAAGATCTAGAGATCGGACCCGAGAGAGGTGGGTGCCAAGATTCCGGTGGATCCCTGAGCACTCGATGCACATGAGAGCTCCCAAGTTCAAACTGGCCCAGTTAGGGTCTACAGGAAGAGAAACAGGAGCAAATTTCAATCAGACCGCCACCATTCATTCTCAATGTTCCTGAACTCCCAGGGACACCTGACCAGGCAGTCAGTCCCCACTGTCACATGACTTAGAGCTGTTCTTGGTGTCAGGGGAAACATGGTATGTTGCTTGCAGCTGTGGCAAATCCAGAGTTTCCCAGAACTGGTATTCATTTGGACAGAGATACCTCTTCTGAGACTTTAGCAGCATTGTTCGGGACTGGTGCACATTAGAAAAAAAAGTCATGTGTATTGAGATGTCCACTGTGGACCTCTGATGATGGAGTGAGAAGCAGAGACAAGGCATCTGGGTGCCACCAAGGCCTAGGTCATGCCTGGAGGCTTTGCTGGCCCTCATAACCCCATTCTGCTCCTGTTAGCCCAGCTTGGTTGTGTTAGCAAATTTCAAATATGGAAGAGGCACACTCCTGTGAGAAGATATGGTCATCAAGGGTCTTACTTAAGGGTACCCATTGCAGTGATTCACAGGGTTCCATTGGCCACTGGCAGGTGAGTGGGCAGGTATAAGTTCTATCAGGACCCACCAGTTCCCTCAACCGTGACTTGAGGAGTGAGCAGTGTATGTTTCAAGCTGGGCTGGTAGGATGGTGGGCTTGTGTAAAGAATGGCTGGGGGGTGGGGGCCTGGGACAGATCTGTCATTGTATGGTGATGTGTGATGACATCATCAGAAGATGCTGGAACTTGGGCCCAGGGCTGGCTTTGAGCTTACAATCTCTGGATGTTTTGCAAGGACAGGCTGACCTTGATGACCACCGGCTCTCACTGGTATCAGGAAGAGAGGCTAAACTCACACAGGTAGAATTGGCATTTATTCAAGGCTACCAGAAGAGTCAGCAAAAACTGATCTGACCCCCTGGGGAGACTTCCTATATTCTCTACAGGGCAAATGACCATGGACGGCTGCATGATGACTAAGCAAATGTCAGCAAGCCACTTATTTAAGATCAGTACAACTCAAGAAGATGGCTGATTCATACCCCAGAGGAGGCCCGTGATCTCAGAGATGTTCTGATGGGGAAGGGGAAACCTAGGTCTCTAACAGAAGCAAAGAGAATAGGATACAGAACCATACAGACTGTGTCAAGACAAGGAAGGATTAAGTTGCAGGCAGCAGAAGACAAGTGTGTTGTGGTTTGGATGTGAGATGCCTCCCTACCCCAGGCTCAAGTGTTCGAACACTTGGTCTCCAGCAGGGGGAGCCATCTTTGGTGGGTGTGAAACCTTCCACAGGTAAGGCCGAGGTGGAGGAAGTGGATCTCTAGTGGAGCGAGCCTTGAGGTTTGGGGCTGAGCCCCATTTCCTGTGCTGTCTGGGCATCCTGATCCATGGAGATGGGACCAAACAGCTGGCCCAGCGGAAGATCCCCATCCCCATCACACCACAGACTCAGCTCCTCAAACTGAAGTCAAAATGAGCACCCCCTCTTCCTGTGGTCACAGAAATGAGAAAAGCAATGAGTGGGAACAGCGTGGAAGGCATCATGGACACAGGCCACTGGACGCAGCTGGTGAAGAGCTTGCATACACTTCTCAGCAAGGCTCTCGCCTGTGTCTGCAATCCCTCAGAGCTGGGCTTCTGCTCTGCTGCCCCCATCAGCTCCGGCCACTGAGACAGGGCTGTCATAGCTGCCGGCCACCTCCATGATTACAACCCTTCAGCCTACTGTTGGCCTCTTGCCACTGCCCATTTCCTGATGCTGAACTGATGCGGCTGGAGTTAAATGTCTCTTTGGGATTTTCTCCCTGGTTTTAGTCTTATCCCCGGCATTTCCCCCTCAAATTGGCCCTCACCTTGGCTCCTGTAATCTCCTCTCTTCTGATACCATTCTCTCTTCCTGGCAAAGCCAGCTTGACCCTGGCTTTTGTGAGAACCCAAACTGTAACAACTGTCAACAGCTCTTACCTCTTCCTCGCTTACCAGCTGAAAAATTCTGTACAGACCTGCCTGATATCAGCTTGCCCCATGATGGTTTCTTCTGTCAAGCTTCTTTCTACCTCTCCCAACCACACCAATGCTCTCCCAGGATCTGGGGAGTCGACCTTCCTTCTAACATCGTCCCCATAGATACTCTCTCAAATTCAACCCTTCTTGAACGGAGACCCCACTCTTGTCCTTACTATCTCCATACATCACGGTGGGACTATCACAGCTCATATCTGTATGTTCATATCCTGACCCCTGCAGGCCACCTCCCAAAAGCAGCCACGAAATGTAGCAGGCCCAATCATGTAACACAGAGACTCAAAACCTGCTGTGGCTACCACCTGCCACCGGGATCAAGTCTAACCTGATCAGACAGGATCAGAACCGAGCCCCACCCCCTCAGGAAGGATCCCAGTGGGATCAGAACTGAGCCCCACCCCCTTTCCCCTGTCTCATGTGAGACCCTCACTGCCTTCATCCACCTGTACACAACACTCACTTCCAGCTCTGCCTGGCATGTTGCTCTCTCTTTGGTCTCAGCTAGAATTACCTTCCCCAGGACAGCTCGCTTGGCCATCTCCCCGCCCCCTGCCCCCCAATGTAGTATCAAGAACCTAGTCTCTGCTTTGGGTAGAGCTTGGTGTGCCCACTCTTCCTCGTGGCTATGGGAATTCGAGGCTGTGACAACACACTGTATCTGGGTGAATACAGAGCAGCCCCACCGGAGCAGAGCCCACTTCTAAGGGACTGGAGGATGGTAGAGGGCAAGGCTGGTGGGTGAGACAAGATCTACTGGGAACCGACAGGGCTCTAGCTGGATTGTACAGGCAGCACTGACAATGACAGAGCTTCGTGGACGAGGAGTCGGAGGCTGGGCTGCCTCTCAGCTTCGTCCTGGAAGGTCTGGCATACTGATGAGGAGTGAGTGTGTGAGTGTGTGTGTGTATGTGTGTGTGTGCGTGTGCATGCACGCACGCGTGTGTCTCCAAGCTCTGGGATTCCCTAGGTCCTTTTCTGGACATGTTGCTGGTGGCTGGCAAGTGGTACCCCCAACAGAGGTTTCCACTGTCAGTGGGTTCTTGAAAGCTAGGCTGAGCCAGGTTGCAAGTTCACTCTAGGGCAAAATTCTCAGATAGTGATGGGCCTTTCCCAGAGAGGTGGATACCACTGACTTTTCCAAATTCATTGGACCAGAATCTCTCTTTATAGACAAGCAGCCGACAGCCAAGGGGGCCCATGGCCCTCTTTGGAACCAATGAGACAGGCTAAGTGTGCAAAACAGAGGAGATACTTGGTGATCAGCATGAATCGTGGCCTTAAATCCCACACTGCACTCAAGTCCTCAGGCCATATCCTCAACCCCCAAGGGTGATACACATGAAATGGGGGCCAGGGAGACTCTCTAGCTGGGGCTTTACCAGGAGGCACAATGTCTGTTACACACTGACATGTGTCACCAGTACTTCTTCCGAGCCTCTAGATGTGGGGTGGCCATGATTTCGGTCCACAGAGTCCTGGAGAGGGACATCTTTAAAGCTGGTGTCTGCTCCTTTCCTGCAGAGATCTCCTTCCTTCCCACTGGGATGCTTCCTAAGGGGAACTGCTGCGGTCAAAGGCACACAGCCGCCACAGGCTCTTAGACACACTGCCCTGACACCCTGTGAACATGCTCACATCTCACTGCCAGCGTGGGCTACGTGGATCTCATTGCTGGCATTTACACTGGGTATTTACACTTCAAATCCCTCCCTGCTTGCTCACACAGTTCACATTGGATGTCCCAAGCATCTTAAGGCCTCTGAGGAAGTAATAGGCTGGCGGAGGGTGTGGGCTGAATTGCACAGTACTGCTCGCTACCTCAGTAACCTGGACAAACTGCTGTAGGCCCAGACTCTTCCTTCCCTGTCCTGTCCTGTCCATGGGCCCATGACAATACCAACTATCACTCTTTAGAACTCAAAAAGACAACACATGTGTGGACTGGATACAGCATACTTGGTGAATGGTCTTCAAAGCTTTTTTTTTGAAGCTCCCGACTCTGCCTTTACCATCTCTGTCCCATCTGCTCACGTGGCTTTGTCTCCAGTCTGGTCCCACGGCCTCCCCTTCCTGCCCATCCTTAGCATGCATATGCCTGTCTCTTCTCAGAAAGGACCTGTGACCTCCAATTTGCCACATGCCACAGTTCCCGTGAAGCCACAGATTGGTTTCTTTTTGAGGAATCTCTAGTTGCATGCTGGAAACAATTACAGACATCAATCTCTGGAATTTTTTTTTTTTAATATGCCTCAGGTTTTATGCTTAAAAAAAAAAGTCTGTTTTAAGGAAAGTTTTGGATAAAAAACACTTCAAATAATGTTCTTTTCTATCTCACATTTTGAAAGTAAAATTAAAAAATTCAAACAAAGAGAGACTTTAAAGCAATGCCCAAAGGAGTCTGTGGAAGAGCTTGCCCTTCCTGCCCTGAGGACGGGCTCCTGCTGGGCTATGGTCAGTCAGGCCGCATGGACAACCTGCTGGCCAGGGCCCTTGGGGGAAGCTCAGCTCTTCCCCTTTGTCCGCAGCAACCCTAGGCTAGTGCTTCCGTGTCCGAGGTGATGCTCACATTCTACCTGCTCTGACTCCGTCTGCTATCTTCCCATAGAGTGAGCTGGTGCAGTCAGGCAGTGCCTTCCATAAAACAGCACAGAATCTGCTGTGAGACTTGGACAGTTCACACCCCTACAAACGCGTAAGGACCTCACCATCCCTCCATCGGCACCCAAGTATCTCCATCATCTCCATCCTTTCCGGCCTGAGATGCCACTCATTTTCCTGGCTCACCCAGGGAGGCCTCTGTGAGGCTGCAGCCTCCAGTGACACCATGTTCTCTCCCCCCCAAACTCTTCCTCAGAGCCCTTCTGACAAGCCAGCTCTGGTGGGAAGCTTGCTTTGAAGTAGATGATCTCAAAGACCTAGGTCCCTTTTGCTCCTTCCCAAGGCTGTGGACTCTGTGCCCTGGGTGGGTGGGGCTTATGCCTTGCCCACTGGGCTGTGACCAACAATACAGGTGTGTTCAGTTCTCAGACACCCCTCACCTGAACCAGCACCTCGTGTTTGAACTGCACCCCTCCACCTTCAAGACCCTACATAACAAAACGAACGGGCAAAGTTTCCTCAATATAGCTTCTGAGGGAGCAGATGTAAAGCAAGGCTTTGTGCCCCCAGGATCTAGGAAGGGAACTCCACTCTCAAAGGGAATATTACCTTTTACAAGTCAGAAAGTGTGACTTGCGGGGGTAACTCCAAGGGATGCAGTCATTACAGTTTCAGTCCTTCACTCACTGTGATGCCCGAGGCTTAAGAAACACACACAGCAGTCCAGTGTATAAGAAACGGCACACTTAGCCGGGCGGTGGTGGCGCACGCCTTTAATCCCAGCACTCGGGAGGCAGAGCCAGGCGGATCTCTGTGAGTTCGAGGCCAGCCTGGGCTACCAAGTGAGTTCCAGGAAAGGCGCAAAGCTACACAGAGAAACCCTGTCTCGAAAAAAACAAAAACAAAAAACAAAAAAAAAAAAAAAAAAAAGAAAAGAAACGGCACACTTGAAGCACCAGGATGGCTGTGTGCAGGACACTATGTGCAAACAAAACCCAAATTCGAATATATCAAGCCCTCAGTGCCAGAGCCGACAAAGATCTAGGGGCACCGTGTACTTACTTTGGGCGTCACAGTCCACACAGTGGGAGTTCCCTCTCATGTTCCGGATGGACTGCAGTGCCATGGCCTCGCTCTGGCTGGTTAGTCGGGACTAGGCACAAAGGAAGACAGAAAATGCAAGATGTGAGCAGACAGGAGAAATCCACACACCTTCTAATGGTGTCAGAGAAAAACCAAAGAGATTATGCACAGGCGCAGCGGTGTGCAATTTCCAAACAATTACTGTTTTTCTGATGTCTTAGGGAAGTTTGTGAGGGAGAGCGAAAGGTCATATGTCACGATTACTTGCTGAGAGGGACTTTGCCCAAAATGAGCTAGGTGGTCAGACCTCCGCCATTTGTGAATGAACCAGAGACTGCTACCCAGAGAGGCTGATACACCTTCATGGGCATATAGCTACTTGGTATGAAGATTAAAGAGTGAGAGAAAAATAATCTGTGTATCAGCCAAGGGTCAGACCTCCATCAGCATACACAGAGCTGTCTCCTGGTTCTTCATCAGAAAACTCCCAACCATACCACACATCACGGCCAGGAGAGTCTCTCTCTCCCATGTGACGATCGCTCACTTGCTACAAAATCCAAGTCACTCATTGGAGTGAGGTAGGGGCATTCATTTTTAAGCACACTTTACAGTCTTCAGAAGAGATTTTTTTTTTAAAGGTCCACCTAGTGCGGCAACGTTAGAAAACATGGGAAAAGACACGAGCATTTATACACCAGGATTCGATCACTCAGAGGATTCAGATCATGCTCTGGCTGTTTTTCCTATCTGTACCTGTGCACACAGGCCCTGCAGGAAAGGCGGATGGGCAGGTATGCATGACCTTGCAGCTTGCCTCTGCTGCCTAGTAACTACTATCTGTCCACCACTTTATGTCCACAGAGCCTCGGCCGCCATCATTAGGCACATGAGTCCAGTTAGTGAGTATGTAGCAAGTACCTTGGCCATGTACTAGGGCTGCTCTAGGCAGCCTCGACCCTGGACAGTGCTGTAACGAACACGCTTCCTGTAAATCTCTACACACATTCCTGACTACGCAGTAAGGGTGACATCCTGGAAGCAAAGAGGCAGAACGGGAAAGGGTATGCATATTTTAAAAGGTTTATTTATTCAATATGCATTTGATATTACAGTTAAAGCAAAAGCTGATCAGTTTCAGAACTTAGAATAAATTGTTTTGTGTACAAATTCTTCACAAATTGAGGTATGTTGTGTTAAATAGATAGATGTGAAACAATTTATTGCTTGCTACTTAATAGTAAGTTATCATTTATTTATTGCTATTGTTTAATTGGCATTATGTACTACTGTGATGGGGTTTTTAAAAATAATTTATTTTACTTTATTTTTTATGTGCATTGGTGTGAGGGTGTCAGATCCCCCTGTAACTGGATTTACAGACAGTTGTGAGCTGCCATGTGGGTGCCTGGAATTGAACCTGGGTCCTCTGGAAGAACAGCCAGTGCTCTTAGCTGCTGAGCCATCTCCCCAGCCCTACCGTGTTTTTATTTCCTTTAGGAATCAGAGAACATTTAACACTTGAATTGGCATCTGGAGGCGTCACACACTCATACGTGGGTGGTGGTGGGGTTTACCTATCTCCCTGTTTCTTTCTCCATATATCTGAACAATTCTGTGGCTCACTGGTTGGTTGCTCTCTCTTTCTGGGTCAGAGCTGAAATACTAGGTACTTCTCTCCTTAACGGAGTCTGGATTTTCTTCCCCAAGTCACCCATGGTGGGAGTACTATGTCCCATTCTATCCTCTCACCCCTGGTCAGGAGCTGCCCAGGGGTGTGTGTGTGTGTGTGTGTGTGTGTGTATGGTGTCCTTCAGCTGCTCAAGCTGCCCAGGGGTGTGTGTGTGTGTGTGTGTGTGTGTGTGTGTGTGTGTGTGTGTGTGTGTGTGTGTGTGTATGGTGTCCTTCAGCTGCTCAAGGGAACCTCCTCTCAGGGGAAACCATTTCCACAAGTATGCTTGCCCATGGATACAGAGGGCAGCTTTGGTGGGCTTGACACCCTACTGTCTGGATTCAGAGGAGCAACCTGGAAGAGGCTCTCTGGGAAGTGAAATGGGAGAAGCCAGCACTAGCCAGGGCTTCTGGAATCAAGGAGAAGGGGTGTGGCTTCAGTCAGAATGTGTGAGATTCATTTCTTCATAACACCTGGAGACATGCTTGTCTGGTCAGCAGCATGTACCCTCTTACCTGCTCTGAAACTAGAATTCCAAGCCTGCGGATGGCAGGTGTCACCAAGCCCATGGCCAAGGAAGGGAGAGACAACATGGCTGGGTAGGGTGGGAATATGACCCGAGAAATCAGGGAGCTCAGAATAAAAGACAGTGGTTCTTCCCAGTTGGGTATAAACTGTCTTCCAAGAGAGAAGCAAATTACATAATAATAATAATGACTGTGGTCTGGCTTACCCTGGCTCAAGAGTGTAATAAAATAACATACCCCATCTCTCTGAAAAAACAGACTCCCTTCTTAATGACAAAGCTGGCCATACATCACGGGCAGAGGTTTCTTTAAATGCTTATAAATGAAACTGCAGGTGGATGGCAATGTCTTTCTTTGGTTTCCAGTCGATCACAGTTTGAAAAATCAAAATGCTCACCAAGAATCTCAATGGGCCAGCAAAGGGTTCTGAGTATCTAAGGGTTCAAAGACTGCAATGGAAAGAAGCCAGCTGGGAAAGACAGGACCACTATAAGGAAGATCGCCGAACAGTGGCCCAGAAAATGCAGTGAACACACTTTTATTTCTGGCCAAACAACTGCTGGAGAACTCTTTTTAATTACTGAATGAAACATACACCAGACTTAAAAAAAAAAAAAAAAAAAACCCAGAAAATTCACCTCGCCCAAACTCCCTCTATCTCCTTTGCGTCTCGTTTGTATCCCTGTGACGTGCGAGGCATTGATGAGGGCAGGACAGGGCATCTTTTAAGCCAACGTCTCTTTTTCTGATTTATTCTGCCTCAAACAATAACAACAAAAAAATATAAGTATGGACGCATAAGCAGGCAGAGTCCAAAAGGCTCTGTCGCCCACAGAGAGAGACGAGAGCGTCCCACGTCGTGCTGGCTGTCACAGCAAAGGCTTCATGTTGGACATCCTGCCACACACAGACGGCCAAGCCAGGACACCAACACATGCATGGTGTTTGTAGATACAAAGTGGTTTTATCTTTTCAATTACTTAGTTTTTTTCTCCTCACAAAGCGTACCTGGGTCTTGTCATCCACACAAGCCATCTGACGCCCCTGTGTCGTCCCCCCCACCCCCCCTGGGGCTCCACTTGGGCCTTCTTTCCCCTTTAATGATCGGCAGCCTTGATTTTGGGGCAGCCTGCTGAGGGCCTTACCTTATTCTTGCTGCTCTCGCAGGACTGCAGGCTGGCTAGGATCTGGCTCTCGATGGCTTGGACCCATGCGTCTCGCTCCTCGTACGTGGTAGCTTCAAAGTGCCACGTCTGGCCAGTGAGGGACACAATGATAAACTCAAAGTTTTCTTCTTGCTCTGGAACACAGAGGTGGGATGAAGAGCTCACTTTCATGAGACGGCAGCGCCCGAGCCCATCCTGTCACAAGTGCCGCCGGATTCAACGGCACCGGCATAGGGCTGGCGGCACACGCAGGCTGGGAGCGCTGAGATCTGATCCACACACCCGCCAACACTCAAGGCCGGCTTCCAAAAGCCAGCAGCGGTAACTAGGTTTCAATCAATGCTCGGGGGACGGGGAGAAAGGAGAGACAGCGTGGGATGTCAGGGTCTCTGTGTGGGCACAGACCAAGCAACTTAGGAAAATAAGTTTGCAACTTCCTGCTGGCTCTCGGATCTGTGGGAGGAAAATGGAGTTAGTTCTGCTAGATGTGAAACGGGACTATGTAAGCATCTGAGTATGGATCCACTGGGAACACCGAGGTGGGTGTCCTTCCAGGGCTGAGTAAATGTCAACGGGAGCTTGAATTCTCATTGTGCCAAGACTTGGACAAAGTGACTCCAGGCAACTCGGAGGGCTTCAGTGGACACAGGTCTGGATGAGTGGCCACAGAGAGACACCTGTTTCGAAAGGGGACAAGAGGCCTGTGTCCACACCCTGCAATACTACCTGCCCCTCAGTCTTTAGGTAAGTTCTACTCTCAAGGCTCACTTTCCTCCCCTGTGGATTGGGCACAGGCAGCTTCTCCTGAGTTTATCAATAGCTAATGTTGTGCATGAGCACAGCAGTGCATAGTCTGGCCACAGGAGACCGTATGTACTCAGTCCTTATTCTCAGTGCCTGACTCAGAGGGGGCACAGCTCAGGAAAATGCAGCTGGAAGTCGAGGCTGGACCCTTCACGTGCCTCACTGGATGAGGAGTTGCTAACATTGGCCTGGAACTGGCTGTGTGGTCATGTGTAGTCACAGGGAAAGAGTAACCCGGAGACTTGCTTATCAACGAAGTCATCCCTACCCCGCCAACTGTACTGACAAGGGAATGGTGCCTTCCTTCTGATCCTGTGGATGCCATCAAGCCCCACTCCCAGGACCTGGGACACTACCCAGGAATGGGAGGCTCTGGTCTTCAATGTAAGACTTCTGCAACCACCACCACCACCAACCGCCACTGCCGGCGCCACTGCCACCGCCACTGCCGGCGCCATCACCAATTGCTATGACACACTTGTGTGGAGTCTTTGTGTTCTGAAAATAACAGGATTAAGCTTTGAATGTAAGCAAGGTGGCTGTCTCTGAACTTTTTTTTTTTTTTGAGTTTTCGAGACAGGGTTTCTCTGTGTAGCTTTGCGCCTTTTCCTGGAACTCACTTGGTAGCCCAGGCTGGCCTCGAACTCACAGCGATCCGCCTGGCTCTGCCTCCCGAGTGCTGGGATTAAAGGCGTGCGCCACCACCGCCCGGCTCTCTCTGAACTTTTATACTGATGAGCAGGCCTCAGCTCTCAGTCTGAACGCCCCCCCGGAAGATGGGCAGGTGAACACACCTGTGTGCAAACCCCCTGGTTTCTCCCAGACAGCCTGTCTCAGGGAATGAAAATGACAGCTAACAGAAGCGTCCACAGCCTCCCACACCGCGAAGGCCCGTGACTCCCCTGCAGGGTGAGAGCTGCTGCATTTCACTCACGCTCTGTAGCAGCGACATGGGTGCCGAGGAGGGGCCAGGCTTGGGCCTTACAGCCATGGCTCTGGCCTGTCAGCCCTTTGAGGGCTGAGCTCACGGCAGGGCCACAGTGTGGCCTGAGCTCAACAGGACACTCAGGCAGCCCAAGGAAGCCGTTAGCTTGCTTAACCCCGGGCATGCGTGTCTGCCGAGCTCTTCCCTGATCCCTTTGCTTCTTGGGTTTTGGAGCTTGAGTAATAAGAGTTCAAAGCGCAGGAGTTAGCCGGGAATGGGACTCAAAAGAGGCCCATGTCTGTGTGGAAGCAGAACAAGTCCACCTACTGTGTGGAGGGCAGCTGGGGAGGAAGCTCTAAGGCCTTTGGACATGGGAACTAGCTGAGTTTTTCATTAAAAAAAAAAAAAGACTATACAGTAATTTCAGACAGGGTTCTCCACGGCTGGCCTGCAACCACACCCTGCAATTACCAGCACAGCCATGGCATCTGTGGGCTTGAAAAGACCTGTTCTCTTTATCCATGGGCTTCTATGTCATGATACTACTCATTACAACCTTTACCACACAGAGGTCTTAAGACAGCACCCGATTCAGTACCTAAAACTCCTCGTGAAGGGAGAGGTAGGGCAGGGACAGGCTATATAATTTATGGGTAGAACACAGGACACTTGGTCATTCATGGGTGGATGTTAGTACTGTTCGTTAGGACATTTATGCACAGCCTCACATCATCGTACATCTGTGAAACTCAAGGACGGTAAGAAGGCTTCCTCTGGTCGGGGTTTGCTGCGCGTTCAGTGAAGAAATGACAGCCGTGAGCCTCGCAGATGGATCTCCGTACACGGCTCTCCCTTAGAGGATTTCTCTTCACAATCTAGCCTGAATCATGAGCTGCAGTGTGAGCTCCAAGGCAGAGAGCCAAACTGGCTTGAGTGGGGTGCAGGTTGGTCCCAGGGCACTCAGCTACCTCCTTCATGCCTTGGGTGTCAGGGGGGCAGAGGGTGGTGTGTGAAGGATTCTACTTAGCAGGGACATGCACACCCACACATGTGGAGGACAGAGCACGAAATGATAGAAATGGCCGGGTACCCGGGTCAAGTGCTACACAGCCACCACCAAGCTTTCTGCCTCCCTCCGATTCCGGCTTGGGCAGCTGTAAAGTTCAGATGAAGCCGCAGAGATGCAGCCTGGCTCTGCCTGTCCTGGGAGCCATGCCCTCTCTCTCCAGAGGAACCCACTGTGCCACACGGCCGGTTTTCTCTCCGATGGACAGGTTCCCTGCGGCAGCCTCTGTGCGCTCAGCCTTCCTCCCTCCTTTCTGCTCCTGGTGATCTTCCGTTCCTCCTCTCTGCTTTCCTTAGGGCTACCTGACATATCCTCTTGGCATCTAGATTTTGGAAGGGCTTCCTCACTCTACGCCCAGTTCCAAGAGCCCCTCTATAAATGTGTTGACCTTCGTTAGGATGTTCACCCTGCAGACAGACCTTTCTGCTCCACTCCATACAGCGTGCCACCTCCCACTTGACGGCCCAACCTGTCAAGCAGCCGCACCTGCTCAGCCCCTCATGAACACTGAGGTTGTCTTCCCTCTGGCACCTCACTTCCAAGTCTGTGGATGAGCGCCCAGGCAGGCCATGGCTCGACGCTCTCCTTACCCTCAAGCCCATCTCTCTGGAACTGTCCAACACATCTACTGTCCCCTGACCTCGGTCATGCTGAATCCACTTGGATGGGAGGAAGGTCTGGACTGGGTGAGTGAAAGGGAGCTGAGACAAGTTACATTGAGTAGTGACTCCCCGGAGGCTTCCGGAGCGTGCCTCCAGTTCTTAAAGCCGGAAGGAAGCAGGCTGTAGGGCCGCCTCACCAGCCTGTACCCTCCTTTTACCCGATTCATGTTTTTAGTGGGGTTCTGAGTGAAGTCTGTTCGTTGCATTTTGAAAAAGAGGAGTTTTGGGGAGGACAGCAGAGCCCAGAGTGAATGTACCCTGTGAGGCTATAAAGCAATCTGAAATCCGAAACTTTCTGAGTCCTGAGGTAACACTCACGTTTAATTCACAAAATCTAAGCATGCTGTGCATCCAGGGGTGTGGTCCTGCCCTCTCCTCTGGTGGAGGTCACTGAGTGACACCAACACACTGCAGCCAGGAATCAAAGTGCCAAGAGGCTCAACACCTTCCGGGCCCGAGCCCAGACGCCTCTCCAGCCAGCTGCCTCTCCCGGCCCACAGCTGGATATGTGGGATGTTTTATTGTCTTTATGGCCTTTCCCCTTTAAAAAGGTTTCTGTCACTTGCACCATGTTCGGGTCCTGGCTGGGCCTGCCAGGTGACTGTCAACGCTTACTGACGGCACCTCAGAGGACTCCTGACTGGATCCATGCTCGCACTTGGGCAGTGGCCGTGACTGAGAAAGCAGATGACGCAATGCAACAGCTGATGATACCAGAGGTTTTTTTTTTTTTTTTTTTTTTTTTTTTTTTTTTTTTTTTAGCAAACAGATTTAAAAAAATGACCATACGCACAACTGACGGTGTGATGCTGGTTGGTCAGAAAGGGCTGAGTGCTGCTGCTATCCTCTATTTATTAACTGGCTTTTGGAGACTGGGTCTCACTCTGCAGCCCTGACTGGCCTGCAGATCTCCTGCCTCACCTCTGCCTCCCAAGGAGTGAGATGGTGAGATGACAGCCGCAGTCCCCCCGCCCCTGCCCCAGTGATAAATACTTGAATAGTGAGAAGGGCCAGTCCTGGTGTTTCATTCTCCAGTGTCATTCACAGCTACAAACCAACCACTAACGACAGGCACAGTAGCAGACTTCATCACAGAAAGAGACTCAAGTTGTAGAAGATACTGCTGGCATACACATTAGAAGCATGTTCTTAGTTCGAGACACACAAGCACAGAGTTACTCCCTACCCAGACGAGAAGCCCAAAGGCCACCTCACCCCAGCCTGAAGCTCCAGGCTATGTGCAGTTCCGGTCCCCAGCTCACTCACACAGTGATTGCGCTCCCGGGGGTTTAAACAGTTTTCTGTGTTTAACGGTTGGTTGTGGAAAGGTCCACTATAATAGTATTTTAGAGCCATGAACCTGTCGAAACCAACCTGCCCAATTATTCCCAATGACATTAATAACACCGGATATCGCACTAATTGTGTCCAGTTTCTATGCAGACGAGGCCCCGGGGGGCTAATTTTGCCTCCTCAGGGGCGAGCATCTCAGCCATCAGACCGACTTCACAGGGAATCCCTCCTCATTACACAAGTCTGGGCTGTCAAACTTTTTTTCCCTTAAAGGTTAATGGGCCAATCAGTCATCAATTATTTTTGTGGAATTCTAGCAGACAAAGGGTTAAAGGGCTACAGACAGCTGAAAATAGTTCAAACATGTGGCGGTTGTTTTTAACA